GACCCCTCTTTGGAAGACTTTCACCCCTAACCTCTGGTTAGGTTTGTTTGGGCTGGTGTGAAAGCTGTCAATCATACTCTGGTGCAAACTAAACAACTAGACTGAGATTAGCTGAAAGGATGGATTTATGCAAATCATTTGTCATTGTCACACACATGCATGAGTGCATGGATTTTCCCTAATCAAAAAGTCAAAATCAGTTAATACCGTGGTCTGCTGTGCTTGTACCCTATTCTGTGTTGGCAGTTCATTAAGTCCATTGATCCACTGTGTGACTTGATCCTATAGTAAGTTCCCTGTGTGGGTCCTGATGATGCGGGGTGGCAATATTGCCAAAACTGTCCAATCAGTGAGTTACCTGCCTGGCATGTGAATTCAAATTGGTTTGTATGTAAAAAGTCAGTGTGAACACAAAGCGCAGCAGGCATAAAATGCAGCAATGGATCCTTTTCTTTCCTTGGTCCTGACAAAATGAACCAAATGTAGATGTGTAAAAGCACCCTCTGGTGTGCTTCCTGTTTGGTTCAGTTCATTTAATCCACTTCCAGTTGGACTTAGCTGCTGTTGGTTTATGGTGTAAAAGCAGTAAAAGACCTTTATCTGGCATGAATTCAAAACTCCATCTGCTGATTATTATCGTTTTGTCAAGCAAATAATTTCTATAAGTGATCTACATAATGATGTGATTCTGATACTTCTTAAACATCTTGGTGATTATGAAGCAAGATCTGATTTTGTTGAAATACAAGACTGTATTAAATTATTGCAAAATTACAAGAAAAAACATGTGAGAGCTCACTGTGGGGCAGATTGTGGCAAATGTGATGCATTCATTACCAGATGTATCGAATCTGGTGTATGTATGTAGTATGTATCATACCTTTGTTTGATACCATAGACTGTATCTTCAGATACTTCCTCTGTCTGATTGTAAACTCAAATAGATGGAGGGTCGTGGTGTGTGTTGTGATTTTGAAATTCAAATAACTGATGTCAATAATATGAACATCATCTCACCTCCACCTGCTGAGCTTCTGGACCTCCTGCTCTGCCTTTCTCTTTCCTTGCGCTGATTTGGTTGGTGTGTGTATCTGTTGTGTGTCTATGATGCTTTTTATTATGTCCTTTTAATTTCCCGAGTGGCTCATTCCATGACTCCTATCACATTATTAATATCATTCTTTGTTTGTGTGTGTCAGCTGCCTCTCTCTCACCCAGCCTCCAGCATCATGTGCACTCCAATTGGTTATTTTGCCTGCGCTCTCATTGGATAGTGTCCGTAAAATTTCACTGGATATTGCCCATGTGCTCTCATTGGATATGGTCCTTACACATGACCACAACTCCTTAAACAAGAAGACCTGTCCTGATGGGCAAATTATACACTGTCCTAAGGGTTTTAGTCCCAGATCAAAGATATTTGTCTGAGCCAAGTTCAATTCAATTCAATTCAATTTTATTTGTATAGTGCCAATTCATAACAGAAGTTATCTCAGGACACTTTTCAAATAAAGCACAGGTCTAGACCGAACTCTTTTAACCATTTACCGAGACCCAACGGTACCACCATTGAGCAGAGCCTATGGCGACGGCGGGGCAAGGAAAACTGCCTTTTAAAGGCAGAACCATCCCGGCTGCTAGGTGTGGTCATCTGCCTTGACAGTTGGGAAAGAGAGAGGAGAGAGAGGAAACAAAGAGACGAGAGACAGCCCAGATACGGCAACAACAGTGAGCAACAACTCTTTAATAACAACAATAATATCAGCTGTTTTAGGCAAATAGTAGTCAAGGGCAGGACCATGCAGGGGCTCCCACCCGGATCCATGAGAACCTGTGAGAGAGAAGCACAAGAAGCCTCCGGGAAGAAGTGAAGTTCAGTAACATGCATCTACATGAGCACATGATGAGTGCAGAAAGAAGAGATAGATCACAGAAGGAGTTTAGTGCACATGGGATATCCGACCGATAGTCTACGCCTATACAGCAATAACTAAGATGTTCAAGGACTCCTGACCAGCCCTAAACTATAAGGCCTTTATCAAGAGAAGGAAACGTCTTAAGCCTAACTGCTTAAATGTGGAAGGGTGTCCTTGGCCTCCAGAACCACAGGCTGGAAGCTGGTTCCACAGCAGAGGAGCTTGGTAACTGAAGGCCTCTTGCTCCTGGTTCTACTTTTAGAGAACCCCTATCGGCAACCACAAGTAACCCTGGCTTCAGAAAGCCAGTGTTCTAGTGGGGTAATAGGGTACTATGAGCCTCTCCCAAGACATGAAG